AATAACTGAGACTGTATTTGTGTAAAGTTTAATGGGTGTTGCACTGCCCGCTACACACAATTCCCTCTTGTGTTCAGAACATAGGAATAGAAACAAGACTTTGTTTGAAAAACCTAAGCAAGATATTCTTCTGTTTTGTAATTTTTTGTTAAATATTTCAAAGACACACATAAGCAAAGACAGTGATGTAATGCATTGCCCACACTTTATTTACACCCTACCCAGTTTATTTTCTTTTTTGTTTGGATGTGGGTGTTTATATTGCCATTCCCTAAGTCAGTGGTTTTGACCTTCAGCTGTGTGTTATCGTCACCTGGAGAGCTTTTTACATCCTCATCCCCCCGCCTACCTCCCAGACCAATTAAATCAGAATCCCTCGCAGGAGAGTCAGACATCAGAAGCTGCCCCGGTGATTACAGTGAGCGGCCAGAGCTGAGAACCAATTCCCTAAGTGAAAATGGCAAAATCAAAGAAGTATTTTTACTGCTGAATCATGTCCTCATATTTTAAATTCATCTTCAAAATTATTTCAAATTATTTGTGGTTTTCTTATGTCTTTTTCATATTTATTTCTCTGTCTCTCTTGGGTTTTAAACCAGTGGTTCTCTACTCATTAAAATCATCTTAGGATGCTGTTTTAAGAAAATGCCTGGGCTCCCCTCCTGGATGTTGTGCTCTAATTGGTCTGGTGTGGAGCCCAGGATTTCTTGGTTTTAAAAGCACCTGAGGAGATTCTGAGTTTAAGCAGAGTTGAAAGCCAGTATTTTTTAATATGTCAAATACCTATCTAGCTGATCATCTGAATCTCCTGGGGAACATTTATTTATTTATTTATTTATTTATTTATTTATTTATTTATTTATTTATTTATTTGTGGAAGAAAACACATTTATGTATTTATTCATTTCTACTTACAAGTAAGGTCATAGACATCAAGTAGACACCGTACTGCCTGGCAATACCTTGTCAGTCTCTGGTCTAATTTCTCTTTCCTCAGACCTCCAACAGTCTCTCCTTCTCACTTTCTTTCTTTCTTTTTTTCTATTAAGATTTATTTATTTATTTATTTATTTGAGAGAGAGAGAGCAGTGGGGAGGGGCAAAGGGAGAGAGAATCTCAAGCAGACTCCACGCCGAACGCCCCGAGACCATGACCTGAGCCAAAATCAAGAGTTTGATGCTTAACCGATTGAGCCACCCAGGCACCCCTCCTTCTCACTTTCAATACAATTCACAAAAGAGAAACAGCTCATCTTTCCAGCACCACATCTACCAGCCTAAGTGCATTTGTATCCACATACTCTGCCTTCCCGCTGTGGACAGGGAGGAGCTCTCCTTGTCCTCCTCAAGGTCAGGTCCTGCTTGTACATAAGAGCCAGTGTCTCGGGCGCCTGGGTAGCTCAGATGGTTAAACGTCTGCCTTCGGCTCAGGTCATGATCCCAGGGTCCTGGCATCGAGTCCCGCATCGGGCTCCCTGCTCAGCGGGAGCCTGCTTCTCCCTCTGCCTCTCTCTCTCTCTCTGTCTCTCATGAATAAATAAATAAAATAAAATCTTTAAAAAAAAAAGAGCCAGTGTCTCCTAGGTAACTTTTAAAACACATGTAATTGCCCTGCTTGATAAAGTAGAAGGAATTTTGAAGTTCTAGGAGGAGGAGAAATGGGTGTTGGCAAATGACCTTCAGAGTAATGGGTATAAATGAGGAATCCTGTTGAGGATAGCGAAAGGACTTTTGAGAATAAGGGTAAGAATGTCTAATATTTTGGAAATATTTTATTCCCACGACACCTGGGTGGCTCAGTTGGTTAAGCATCTGACTTCTGTTCAGGTCATGATCTCGGGGTCCTGGGATCAAGCCCTACATTGGGCTCCACACTCAGCTGGGAGTCTGCTTCTCCCTCTCCTTCTGCCCCTCCCCCTCTCCTGCCCCTCCCCCGATCCTGCACGTTCTCTCTCTCTCAAATAAATAAAATCTAAAAAAAAATTTTGTTTCTTCTGCTATGTTTCAATGTAAACACCTATTCTGTTGCTCTGAAATCTTTAGAGAAGGCCATCACACATGGGTACAGCAGCGCATGCCCACACCCACACAGAGTGAATGTCCATTGTCCAGGCCCCACCCCTGGAAATCCTATTTCAGGAGGTTCAAAGTGAGGCCCTGATATCAGTACCTTAAACCTTCCCCAGACCATTGTGGCAAGTGGCCAGGTTTGGTCCCACTGATTGTAGATGTTACAACATCTTTAGACGATGTTCATCACAATCCATCCCATTGACATCTGGGCAAATTGATGTTGGGGAACATAAAGTCAATGGTAAAACTGGGTTTTTGCAACAGGGAGAAAAAGTCTGACTCTTATTAGACCTCCCTCAGATCTACCTTGTCTTTTTCTCTTTGAGTGACTCTGAAGGAAGATATAACCTTTCTGAAATAGGACATTAGAAGACCAAGGAGGTATACAGAAAAATGAATAATAAATTTTAATAAAGAAGGCTTAATCTCCTGTAATACGAAATAGCAGAGAGGAAGTATGACCTACATAATCAACAGTCATGAGCACCAATCCAAAGATATCATTCATGCGTCAAATACTGAGTGCCGGCTAAGAGACAGGGACTGAGCTAGGCTCTTGGAGCTCAGGGTATGGTATGGCCTCGGGAATCACAGTCTAGAAGAGACCAATAATTATAACCAGTGGGAAGAAAAATGTGAAACTACGTAAGTAGTAAATATAGACCCAGTATGCAGGGGATTAGTGGTAAGGGAAAACTTCAGAGAAGCAGAAGACAAAACCAGGCTTTTGAAAGATACAATGATCAGGGTGTAGGGAGAATGGAAGAAGAGTGGGGGGGGGGGAAACAGCATTTCTTATCAGAGTGAATAGAACTGTAGGCATGGGTTTAAAGCAGCATGCATGGTACATTGCCTGAATTGTAGATGGTTCTATAAGACTGTTATGTAATGTTCTGGAGGACTTGGGGTAGGAAGAAGGCAGAGGGGTTGTCTTGCCGTATGTCAGACTCCACTTACATACATCAGCCCATTGTTCTTGGGTATTATGATGAGTTCCTAGAGTGTCCATAAAAAGTTAGCCAAGAGATGGCCAACAAGCCTTGCTAGCCTAAAACAAAAGACGTATGATCCCTATTTGTCAGATTCTGCAGCAAAATCCTCTTTCTCCAGACTAATCTGCTCATGTCCTCCTTATTGGTACTTGCCATGCTTTCACTGTTAGACTTCCTTTTTATTCTAGACTCTGGAATTTTTAACCTCCTTGGACATAGGCATTTATTTTTGCATGATGTTTGTGGTTGATCACATGAGCCTGAGTTCAGTGTGAATGTAATTTCAGTTTGATAAGAATCTAACTTTTCATCCCGCAGGAATTGTATCGGGCAATGTCAGTAATCCCCCACATCCCTAAGGTCACCACATAGACACCTGTTAGCTCAGGCTAACCCCCATCTCTTCTGCTGTTACCTTCCTTCAGGTGGGAACACTGGCTTTAGTTTTGTGCACTTAATTTTTATTATAAGGTATATAGTTCAAATACACAGACAAATACAAAGAATCATGTAATAAACACCCATTCACTTACTGCAGGGCTTAATCAGATCTAAACATTTTGCTCTATTTGCACCAATTGTTTTTATAAACTAAAACATTGTAGATACAGTAAGTTAAAGCTCTATCTCCCCTGAGTCTAATTCCCCTTCTCTCTTATCATTCATGGTTTTATACATTCACTACATTTATGTGTTCATAAACAACATACAGTATTGCTTTATACATTTTTAAACTTTGTATAAATTATTGCATCCTTGAAGTATCTATCTGTACCTTGCATTTTTGTTGAAAATTAAGTTTTTGGGATTTATTGATGATGACACAAATAGATTTAGTTTGCTTTTTAAGACTACTTTATAACATATAATATATCGCTCTACTGAAATTTACTTTTTATTGTGTACAGGTAGACATTTGAGGTTCTTTTCCAATTTTTCAATATAATAAAGCCATAGTTAACATCCTTGTACACATTTTCATGTGCACAGATATACTGGGATTTTATTCCTTAATCACTTCTTTTACTCATATTAGTAATATTCACTATGTAGCATTTATATACATATATATGATTTATAGACATATACATATGTCTATAAACCAGCCATCCTAATTGTCTCAAACATGACATCATCATCACCTTTAAAACAGTATTATAAAATTGCACTGATGGGGCGCCTGGGTGGCTCAGTCGTTAAGCGTCTGCCTTTGGCTCAGGTCATGATCCCAGGGTCCTGGGATCGAGCCCCACATTGGGCTCCCTGCTCAGCGGGAAGCCTGCTTCTCCTTCTCCCACTCCCCCTGCTTGTGTTTCCTCTCTCACTGTGTCTCTCTCTGTCAAATAAATAAATAAAATCTTTAAAAAATAATAATAAAATAAAATTGCACTGATGTTTTCAACTTGTAACCTCTCACTAGTCACCAGGAATTTCCCTCATGGAGATATATAAACCTTAGTTCTGAACCGTGGAATAATTTAAGGAATAATCAAATATGAGTACAGAATTGGAGAGGAGGATAATATACCTTCAAGAAACTTGGGGTCAATTTAAGGACTGATCTTGCCCTTTTCCTGGTTCCTTGACATGTAAATGGTCAGAGTCAGCCTGAGTCACTATTCCCCTCATATGGACTGAAAGTCAGCTGACTGCAGAATTTAGTCACTGAATTTAATACGAGCTGTTGTTAAAAGCATACACATTACTACTTATTGCCCTGGGAGGAAATAAGTCACATGTGGGTTTTTTTTTTAATTTTAACTTCATTTGATTTATTAGTGGTTGCTAGATACTGAACTATATGGTAGGTGCTCTGGGATGTCCAAAGATGAAGAAGTCCTCCAGTGAACTCACAATCCTGCAAGGAAGAGATGCTTAGGAAGAGTCATCTGTCAGATTTTGGCATCTGAAATAGGCTCTTTATTTTCTCCTTTAGTGACACTCAGGAAATGCTTGTCTCCTGCTGTTGATGCATAATCTGAGAGTACTATGGATCATGCTGAAGAAAATGAAATCCTCGCAGCAAGCCAGAGGTACTATGTGGAAAGGCCTATCTTTAGTCACCTGGTCCTCCAGGAAAGACTGCACAAGAAGGACAAAATTTCGGATTCCATTGGGGATAAGCTGAAACAGGCATTCACGTATGTTGTGTTTTAACCTATTTCCTTTATCCTGTCATTCAGTTATGAGAGAAGCGAGGTCAAATATATCAAGAAAATCTGGTGCAGTGGGGAAAATAAAACAAATGGTGAGCACTTAGGATTTGCAAACTGTCCACACGGTTCACTCAGGGATAGGTATCTGATTGAACCCAGGCTTCATTATATATTTCACCCTATTTATTAAATTCTGATTATACTTGCATCCGTTTAACAGTTTATCTAAATACCCTGCTTTCCCATACTCCACCACCTTTGAAATATCCACCTCTTCTCTTCGTCTCTCAGGAATGTTCCAACCACTCTATCTTTTTTTTCCACCCCGACTTCTACCCATTTGGCAACATCCTGAATTTAAGTCCCAACCCAGGCTGTCAAGGACACTCAGTGTCCTAGGACTCCTCACTTTGGAGACGCTTACACACATGTTGCAGGCCTGGGACTGATAATCAGTGTTGCCTGACATGTGTGTCTCTGGAGAGCTCCCTAGGTTTGATTGCTCCCTTCTGGACCCTTGGGAAGACACGTCCATGTTCTGTGTTCGTGCAAATTTCACAGGGACCCTCCGCTCTAGGTATGATCACCAGGAGAGTTTTAAAATGTATTCACTGGAGTCAGACTGTCTGAGTTTTAAGCCTAGTCCCAATCACCTACCAACTGTGTGCTTGCATTTCCTGCTCTACAAAATGGGGGTAATAATAGTACTTACATCATAGAGTTCCTGGGGGTTAAAATCTGTCAATATATGCAAAGTCCAAGGCACATGGTAAGTACCACATTAGTGTAGCTATTATTAATGTCTTAATTTTCTAAACAAGGAGATGGGCATCTAATCTAGTTTGTTTCACTGAAATTCATGGCTCTTGCCACAGTTGCCCCAAATCTCCTTCTAATATCTTCCTTCACCTGATGATCAGATACTTTTGGCCACTAAAGACATGATATAAAGTACCACGCATGCTGCAAGAATGCATTGTCTTTTGAATGGAATAAACTCCTTCCTTGCTTCCATGTTACCCGGAGAACTTGGGGCTGTCGTGGTGGTGATGGAACCCATCTGTCCAGCTCTTATTTAGTGATGTCTCTGATGATTGGCATGGACTGGCAAAAGGACTGGCCAGGGCCCAGAACATAGTCTATGTATCAAAATCAACTGAACTCTATAGGGATTAAATGCAAGGCCTGGGTTTTATCAGCATGATGTTCTACCTAATCAAGACAACCAGACACGGAATCCGCTGTAACACATGAGTGACAAATGGTGTTTTGAGTTTACCTAATCAAAGACCCTAAAGCATTGACTACATATCCATAAAGCTCATAGTACTTGTATAAATTTCCTTCATTTCATAAGGACAGGGGAAACTAAATGGGCCTGCCAGTCAGTGGTTCCACATTCAAAAATTTGCTCAATCAGTAAATAATTCCCCCATTTGGTTTTTACACCAACACAGAAAGTACATTAGGATTTCATCTGCTAAAATAATAGCTTCCAAGGTATCTCAATTATTTTGAAGCTAAATTTTTCTTATTTTTCATGGTAAATTGTAGAGCATTATTATGGAGCCAATTCAGATGTTTCCCTTAAAAAAAAAAAAAGTTTACAAGCAGATCTTCTTGTTTCTTTTTTTTTTTTTTTTAAAGATTTTATTTATTTATTTGAGAGAGAATGAGAGAGAGCGAGTACATGAGAGGGGGGAGGGTCAGAGGGAGAAGCAGCCTCCCCGCCGAGCAGGGAGCCCGATGCGGGACCCGATGCGGGACCCGATCCCAGGACTCCAGGATCATGACCTGAGCCGAAGGCAGTCGCTTAACCAACTGAGCCACCCAGGCGCCCAATGAAACTTTATTTATTTATTATTTTTTTTATAAAGATTTTATTTATTATTTGACAGAGAATGAGAGAGAGAGAGAGAGCACATGAGAGGGGGGAGGGTCAGAGGGAGAAGCAGACTCCCCGCCAAGCAAGGAGCCCGATGCGGGACCCGATCCCGGGACTCCAGGATCATGACCTGAGCGGAAGGCAGTCGCTTAACCAACTGAGCCACCCAGGCGCCCAGATCTTCTTGTTTCTGATCTCTGCAGAGTGGAAAGGTCATCCTTAGCACAGAATGTGAATTTTCCCTTATTGCTCCAGGATATGGGGAAGGGAAAATGCCTTGGTGTGAATTCTTTAGAAGTATTCCTCGTTTTATCTCTGGGTTTTTTTGTTTTGTTTTGTTTTGTTTTTGTCCTCCCAGATGTACTCCTAAGAAGATACGAAATATCATTTATATGTTCCTGCCCATAACAAAGTGGTTACCAGCATACAAGTTCAAAGAGTATGTGTTGGGTGACTTGGTCTCAGGTATAAGCACAGGGGTCCTTCAGCTTCCTCAAGGTTAGTAGGTATATTTATTTCTTTGTGTCGTTTCCCTTGCCACCATCTCTTCAAACAATTGTTGCCCTTTTTTCTGTTTACTTTCATCATGATTGTGAATTCATAGTCTTTATCATATTCTAGTAACCTTTACCTGTCTAAAGGAATTCTTCAGAAATATTTAACCCTTAAAAAGCCCAGAGACAGTAGGTGTAGAATATGATGATACTAGTTCGCAGATCAGTATATTTCTAGGAACTGGCTGGGCAGGGCCTTACGTCTTCCTAAGTTAGCCAGTCACTCAACGAATGTGTTGTCGGAGTTCTCCTTGTTAAGGTTCTTGACTTTTAAGTCCATATTCTAATTACAAGGGACCAGGATATGCTGAATTCCTGTACATTTCTGTGATTTTTATGTGTGATATAAGAATTGAAGAAAATGCTCATTGATTTATTCATCTATTCGTACATGTTTATCAAGCATTTACCCAGCTCCCCTTGTCCTTATGAATCTAACAATTAGGCAGAAAATCATGAAGCAAATAGAAGCATATATACATTTTTAACTACAAATGATGTTAAACACAATGAAGGAAAATTCAGGGTACCAGAAGATAATAATAGGGAAACCTAACTTAAGTAGGTAAGTCACAGAAACTTCTTTAAGAGAGATTTGAGTTGAGCCCTGAAGGATGAGCGGGAGACAGGTAAGGAATGAGAGGAAATGCATTTGAGGCAGAAGGATAGCATGTGTGAAGACACTTAGCAGGAAAAGAATTGAGTATTTGAAGATTTGGTTTGAAGAATTACTAGAAAAGCAGCTTGCTAGGGGTGTAGGGGAGGAGGGGCCGGTGGCCAGCAAGGTGGGCAGTGATAGATCTGCAGAGCCTTGTTGGCCACTTTTTGGATTCCACTCTGAGTGCACTGAAAGCCATCACCGTGCTTTCACTTGGGATTTCTTTCTGAGGGGTCACTAGGACTGCTGTTGGGGTGAAGTGGATTTGGTTGGTGGGAGGGGTACCAGAATGAAAGTGGGGAGACCAATTAGAGGTGATAGGACTCAGTATAGGGAAAAGGTGATAATGGCTTGAACAGCCTCTAGGTCCGTTGGCCAAGAATCTATTCCCTTCTCCAGTTTCCCCAAAATTAATTACCAAATGATCAACTTGTCAAGAAAAAAAGCCCACTTCCCCTAATGATCAATTAGTTGCATTTTTAATTTTCCAAGTGACTGATTTACCAAATCTGTTAAACATAAGCCTTGTACCAGGTATAGGATGGTTTTTCACATCCATTTTGGCACCAACACCCCAAGGGCAGAGAAGGAGACAGGTTCAAAGATGGGGGTGGGGGCAGGGAGGGGAGCCCACAGAGGCTCAGCATCTGAAATGGGAAACAAGTGAAACTGACATTGAATCAAGTGGGACAAAAAAAGCTACAGGAGTACTGCAGTGAAATCGTGTAAACTAATACTTCAGCGAAATCCTCAGGATTGTGCCTAATTGGGTTAAAATGCCATTCCACAGATTTATTTTTGACCTGTTAGCCATCTTCCATCTTGAACTAGGGTGGTGGTGATAAAAATGAAAAGAGTTATAAAGATACATGCTGTATTTTATGGTCAGCCAGATTGGCTGTTGGATTGATTGAGGGGAGAATGGGGAAGAAAGGCATGTCAAGAATTACTTTAAGGTTTCTGGGCTGATGAGTGGGATGTGGGGACATTGAGGAAGAAAGATGGTCAAGAATGACTCTCAGATTTCTGGTTCTAACATCTGAGGGTTGGAGGTGCCCATTGCAGATGTAATAAAGACTGCAGGAGGGAGGAATTTGAAGGGTAAATTTGAACATGTTAAATTTGAAATGCTTGTGAGATAGACAAACAGACATTGCATGTTTATATTTAAAATATGGGCTAAAAAGAGAGCTGTGGGCTAGAGATGTCAGTTTGGGGGTCTTTGACATACATAAGCCATGGAGGGCCACCCAAGAAAAGAATGTGGAGTGAAAGAGAAGAGAGCCAGGATCAAGCTTTGTCCAACATTGAAGACCAAATAAAGAAGGAGGAACCAGCAGAAGAGACTGAAAAAGAAGCATCTGGAAAGGGGGAAGGAGAACCAGGAAACTGTGGTGTTACAGGAAGGAAGAAGGAATGATCCAGTAGGTTGAACATTAAGGGATGTAAGTCATCGCACAATCAAATTTGTATGGAAAATGTATTTTTCTGCCCATCACTAGTCAATGAAGATAGATAAATAGGAAAACCAAAATGTAGCAAAGACAGAGATCCAAGAGATAGTAAGTTGATTTCTTGTGGTTGGTAAATTATTAGTAAAAAGACTTTGTTAAGCATTGAATTAATGCATTCCTGAACTTAATTGAATACATGCTTCTTTCTCTAAATTTAAAATCCCTCTAAAATGATGGTAAAGCAGAGGGAAATGGTATAAACTAGCAAGGACAAAGAAAATGGGAGAGCAGGCACCATGGAGCAGGAAGAAAAATGGCAAGTGATAGACGAGTGACAACTGAATTATCAGAGTGGAGGAAGCTGGTATTTGGGTGTCTGCCCTGCAGAACATTGGGAAATTGGCAGCCCAAGGATTGTCAAAGGTAAGAGTCAGGCAGATGGCTAGAAGCGAGAGGATTGGTTGAAAGTCTGTATAATAAATAGCAAGTACATGGACACCCAGGTCCCCACCAACACCACTCAGTGGATGGCAGGTGAAAGCACTGAAAGGTGGCAGGAGGAATGAAGTCTACACATTGACCTCTGCACTAACAAAGGCTCTTCTTTGCCCTGTGCAGCTCCAAAGAGCCTGTGAGACCTTCAGCCCAAGGCACACGATGACCCACCCCCAGAGAAAAAAAGCGATAGTGACAACTGGGGGTTCCCCAACCAAGATGCTGGCTGGTCCCCCAATTGCCATACAGTAAAGCTCATCAGTAAATAAAGGGGGCCAGTGCACATGAAGCTTCAGGGATGAAAACAAACCAAAAAGAAAGAAGGACCTCATTGGGCATATAAATAATGGAGAGGGCAAAATAAAACATATTTGCCCTGTAATATTCTCAGCAAGTCATGAAAACATATTGAACCCATGAGATAAGAACAGGATGTGATTTTAAAGATTTTATTTATTTCAAGAGAGAGCTTGAGCAGGGGAAGGGGCAGACACAGAGGAGAATCTCAAGCAGTCTCACACAGCACAGAGCCCCACGCAGGGCTCCATCTCATGACCCTGAGATCATGACCTGAGCCGAAATCGAGTCGGGTGCTTAATCGACTGCGCCACCCAGGTGTCCTGGGATGTGATTTTTAAAAGGAGCCTTCAGAGAACAAGAAAGAGCTCATAGAAATTAAAAATATGATAGCTGGAATAAAACATTCAGTCAAATGGGTTGGAAGATAGAGGAAATCTGGAAGTAGAAGAAAAAGATGAATACGTGCACAATAAGAAAGGCAAGAGGAGAACACGAGAGGATCAGTCCTGGTGTTCCGTCATATATCTACTGGCAGTTCCAAAAAGAAGAGGTTAAACAGAAAAGAGACTATCAAAGAATATTTTCAGAATTGAAATACGTGAGTTTTCAGACTGCGAGAAACCACCAGGTACCCAGCAGAAGAAATAAAAAATAAAACGAGGCACACCATAATAAATATCCGAATACCAGGGTTAAAGAGAAGATCTCAAAACTTCTTAGAAAGGAAAAAAAATCACATATTATAACTAAGTGGAAGTTGAAAAAATAGGAAGTCAGTAGTTAACATCTGAAATGATAAACTGAGAATAATAATGTCAACACATTCTTTAGAGCAAGGTCTCTCAGCCCTGCACCATACCAGGAACAGCCCCCATCCTCAGTCAGTCATGATAACAAAAAATGTCTCCTGACATTGCCAGATGTCCCTGGGGCGAGGGGGGCGGGGGGGGAGCAAAAGCCTCTTAGTTGAAAACTGTTGATTTAGATAAATGAGATAAATGGTAGAAAAACAGCTGAACTAGTTGGAAGTGAGTGCCTCTGGGGAGCAGAACCTGGAGGTAAGGCAGAAGAGAGCCCGCTTTTCTTCAGAGCCTTTTAGTACTGCTTGGCTTTTTAAACTATAGGCATGCGTTCCTTTGCAATAAAAATAAAAAATAGAAATTTGTTTTTTAAAAAAAAGACAACATTAAAATGACCATACTATTATATATGGAATAGGGATGCTTCCCCAGCTCTTCTTTGGCTAAAATTTTTTTCTTCATGACATGACAATGCATTAAGTGAATTTTGTAGTTGTCCCAGACATTTGGCTGAGCCCTCTGAGCTGAGAACAAGGGGTGTTTATTGTCTCCACATTCTGAAGAGGATGCCAGACCATCTATGCAAAACTATGAGTGAATGACACCAAACCGTCTCTTTAGTGCATTACTTCAACAGGATATATTTGGGGACCAGGGATATAATAGTAAATTTGGAGTGAGAATTTTCTAGAGAGAGGTGAGCACTATACATTTCCCCTCCACCTAAAGTCAAGGTAGGAGTGACTGCAAGAGAACCACTCAAGAGCACTGAACACATGTCCTCTGGAGTTTTGGGGGGATTGTTGCCTAATTCTTGCAAGAAAAAAAAATCTACAGGTAAAAGGGTGTAAACTGCCCATGTAGGCAGAATGGAAAGCCCTCCAGTGGGCGTGGCCTGCACTTCCAAAGCTTCTTGTAAAGGTGCCAAGCTTTCCCGTTGGGTAAGTGGGTGCTCTGGAAGGTAATGAGGCTTGGCTCATTTGAAAGGTACCTGCCCAAGAAGACTGCCTAGGGAGGAACATATGCCCGCAGAGAGAACTTGGAAGAGGTGTAAGAACTGGGAACTGGGAGTTCCTTATTGAAAAGGGATCCCCAACAGACCCATAGAAACACCCTGGTACAGAAACAGCCAGCATTTGGCCATCAACACGGATTATAGCTACACCAGTCAAGTAAGACTTTCTGCCCTTATTTAGGTTGGGAAAGAATAAAACAGAAAAATGTCCACCCCTTGGCAAAGAGGGGATGACAGGGAAAAGGGTCTCAGCCTGGGTGTAGGATTGGGATGCAAGGGTGGGCAGGTTAAGACCCAGCTGCTTAAATTAATGTGGCTTTCACTGCTTCATCCTAAAGTGCCAAGAGATGAGTATATATAACCCTCTGTTCTCCTGTTCGGTTTCAATCCCACAGGGTTAGCCTTTGCAATGCTCGCTGCCGTACCTCCAGTGTTTGGCCTGTACTCTTCGTTTTACCCTGTTATCATGTATTGTTTTTTTGGAACCTCCAGACACATATCCATAGGTAAAAGCTTAGAGTTGATATTTTAGTGCCGTTCTGTTTGGATTTCCCAGCTTTGCAGTGTGCCAAAGAACTAGCCTGTTTGTTATCAGAACATCCGTTTCATAGTAATTTTGTTACTGCATACCCTCTAGGTGCTTTATAAAAATAGACTCCCCCCAGATTTCCAGAACGAATAGCTTTCTTATAATCTTGGCATAACGGGAAAAAAAAAAAAAAAAAAAACATTTTCTCATGTAAAGAGCAATTGTTGAAATCTGGGGAATAAGTACTTTAGTTCATAATACAATTTGCTTGGATCTGGTTTTTCTTTTTCTTTTTTATTTTATTAGTGTTACTGCATGTTCCTAATTACTATGCATGTATCACATTTTCATCCTATTTGAGGCTCTGAACTATACATGACTTTTCCCAGTGTATTTAGGATAAGACTTACATGGACTTCATAACAGCGTTGGTGCTGCATGAGGCTACCACCAGCAAACACACACACAATGTTTCCGATGTCCGGTGCTGGGTAACAAATATGCCCAAATGTAGAGGCTTAAAATATTTACTTGATTATCTTGCCCAGTTCCTGTGGGTCAGGATTTGGGAAGCGCTCATCTTGGGCAGTTCTGCCTCAGGGTCTGTCATGCAGTTGAGAGTCGAAGGAGGAGCTGAAGCAGCTACTCTCTCTCTCTCCCCCCCTCCCTCCATCCTTCTCTCCACGGGGTCCTCATTGAGCTTGCTCACACCCAGCGCAAACAAGCGTTCCATCTGAGATGGCAGTGGCATCAGCTTCTGTTACGGAGCTTCAGAAGCCTCACAGCATCACTTTTGCTGCATTGTTTTGGCGACTAGCATGTCACAAGCCCACCCAGATTCAAGGAGAGTGGAATTAGACTACCTCTTAATGGGCAGGTTCTAGAAGAGTCCATGGGATGGAAGATATCATCGTGGTCATTTTTAGGGAATACGATCTGTATGTACACAGCTTACACGGAACCCAGGGGCGCCAGGCTGAAGAGCAGTGCAGTTTCATGTCAGTGATGCTGTATCAACCTCACCCGGGTCTCCTTGAGACCCGGCAACAACCAGGGAGATACACAGAAAATGACTGCCTCAATTAATGCTTCACTATTTCAGGTCCATTTGCTGTGATTAGCCTGATGATTGGCGGTGTGGCTGTTCGATTAGTACCAGATGATATAGTCATTCCAGGAGGAGTGAATGCAACCAATGGGACAGAAGTGAGAGATGCCTTGAGGGTGAAAGTTGCCATGTCTGTGACCTTACTTTCAGGAATCATCCAGGTAATAGTCACAGGTGGAGAAATGGGCTCTCATTTGTTCATTTAATAAGTATCTATTGAGCCTTCGGGGCTGGTCTACATGGTGGGCAGGGTCCAGCCAGCAGAGGTCCAGAGCTCGGGGCTCAAAGCACTCAGAACACCAGTCCCACTGCACACTTCCCTTAAGTTGGTATTTATTAGGAGCTAGCAAGCTTTAGTTGGGTCCTTTAGAGATTCCAAAAGCAAGAAGAGTTTAAAGCAGGGTTGATTAGTAATGGAAAGAAGGCCTCTCTTATCTGCTTGGAAGGAACAGGAGGTGACATTGACTCAACATGCCCCCAGTTCTGAGGACCAGGGAAAGTATAAGTGTGCCCAGTGCCGGTGGGGGGGGGGGTGCTCCAGGCCACTCCAAACCTTCCACTGCTTCTGTATAACAGGTGTTTCACTTGGGAGCTACTTAACTGCTGCAGAGGCAAGACTGTAGTGTTAGAAAGTGGTCCAGAAAGAACTTTTGTATGTTTTCTGTTGGTTTTCACTTCCTGGTCTATCACGTGACTTCTTTGTTTCTTTGTCGTTAAAAAAAATTAGTTTTGCCTAGGTGTCTGTAGGTTTGGATTTGTGGCCATATATCTCACAGAGCCCCTGGTCCGGGGGTTTACCACCGCGGCAGCTGTGCACGTCTTCACCTCTATGTTGAAATACCTGTTTGGAGTGAAAACAAAGCGGTACAGTGGGATCTTTTCAGTGGTGTATGTAAGTAAGCTACTTCCCGACTTACTGGTTTTTCCTTCTTATTTTCCTCTCTTCTCTTCTGTATCTCTGTCACCTTCAAGGCTCACTTTTCCAAGAATTAAAATAAAATGGAAAAGATCTCATTATTCTAAGACTTTTCTGAGAACCCTACACAGAGAATTAAACCTTAAAGTCTCATTTTATTAATAGGTGATACCTCACAAGGAATTTTTGATTAGGCCTTTATTTGGTGACTGCCCCTTCACCCCAACTGGCTGAAAAGAATGCTTTCCCTTAAGACCAAATTGTGTTCTCTTTGGGAACTAACATAATTTAAAGGTATCACGGGAGAACACATCTCTCTCTAAAACTGCTTACTCAAGCGGGCAAAAAAAAAAAATAAGTAAATCTATAAAAGATTTAACCAACACGATTACCCATCAAATCTAATAAAATCTATGTCGACCGTTGCACCCAACTCAGAGAAAATGTAAATTATTTGCAAGCACATAGGGAACAATGGTAAGAACTGATCGTGTTGGAACTGATCGTTTTGAAACTGATCACAGATTCTGAAAATTCAGTATTTTCTCACACAGTGCAGTATAATTAGCAATCGATAACTAAATATAGCTTTAAAACCCCCATACATTTGGAAAACAAAAAACCTACTTCTTAATATTCCATGGATAAAGAGGAAGTTATGAAATAACTAAAATCAAATGACAGTTCAATTCTTCGTATCCAAAGTTCTGAAATGCTGCTAAAGCTAGTCCTGGAAAGAAGGACTGATGGTCTTTGCAGGTGTTTGTATGCATTTCACATGCTGGGCACAGCAGTGAGTGAGCAGATACGACCCTTGCCTCTTGGAGTCCAAGTCCCGTGGGAAGACAGTAAACCATTAATTGCGTAAATATATAAATAACTGCAAACTGTATTGCGTGCTATGGAGGAAAGTACAGGCGGCTATGAAAGGTGAATAGGGAGACCTTTCAATTAGGGGTCTAAGAAAGTCACTATAGGGAAGTGACATTTAAATTGAGTCCTCAATGGATTAGAATGGGATCAAACTGTAGGAACATGTCCTAAATAACTAAATTCTTCGTTTCCCATAGTAGCCGATGACCTGCTTCCTACACTGAGATTTCTCTCAGTGCCTTGTCACAAAGGAAACAGAACAGATAAGCACCTGAGTATGCTCTAGGCATCAACAGGCAAGGTGTGTAGCCTGGGCTCAGTGTAGCCCACTCTCCCAGGGGCCAGATGAGTACTGACCATATTTGGGGTGCTGAGGCTGCAACCCTAGGATAAAAGTAGGAGACTTTCTTTTCTTTTTCTTTTTTAAAGATTTTATTTATTTATTTTTGCGAGAGGGAGAGAGAGAGAGAGATCGAGCGAGTGTGAGAACACGAACGGGGGAGGGGCAGAGGGAGAAAAACTCCCCCCTGAGCAGGGAGCCGGATGCAGGGCTCGATCCCAGGACCCTGAGATCATGACCTGAGCCGAAGGCAGATGCTTAACCGGCTGAGCCACCCAGGTGCCCTGGAGACTTTCTTTTCTAACTCTCCTGGGCTTTGTCCAAACTTCAGCACTCTCTTGCCTTCGAAGTGTACCTGGTCCCTTTTTCATCTGCTAACTATGACTTCTTTCTCCCCCTTTCGCCTCCATAAAAAACTTTTCTGTGTATTTACCTTTGCATTATTTTGCTGATATCAACCCCTAATCTTTCGTCATGCTCAGAACTCAGCTTAAGGGGTACTTTTCTGAATAGGATAATACTACACTGAGCCATTACCCAATCAAAGAACACTGTAATATAAGATTGTTGGGTAACAATTACCACTACAGGGGTGCCTGTGTGGCTCAGTCTGTTAAACGTCTAACTCCTAATTTCAGGTCAGGTCATGCTCTCAGCGTCATGAGATCGAATGCAGTGCGGAGTCTGCTTGGGATTCTCTCTCTCTCCCTCTCCCCTTCCCCTGCTCACTCATTCATGCTCGCTCTCTCTAAAAAAAATAATAATAATAATTAAAACTATAAAGTTATGTGACGGGGTAAAAATGCCTCCTAATTAGTGGGAGAGAGTTCAGTCTGAGAACTTTTAACTCGGAATGCGCAGCGATGGGACGGCTGGTGTGTATTAGCACCCTAGTGTGTCTGTCTATCCAGGGGCCGCTGCTTGATGTAACATCCAGTGTTCCTTGTGTTACAGAGTACAGTTGCGGTGTTGCAGAATGTTAGAAACCTCAACGTGTGTTCTCTAGGCGTCGGGCTGATGGTTTTCGGTTTGCTGTTGGGTGGCAAGGAGTTTAATGAGAGATTTAAGGAGAAATTACCTGCACCCATTCCTTTAGAGTTCTTTGCGGTAAGTCAACTTTGGCCACAGATGCCTGGCTATTTTGGTGAGGGATTTAGACAGGGGAGGAACAGGGAGTTCTACCTTTTTTCTCCCAGTTCTGCCAAGAGAAGAGTAGAATATGTCAAGGGGAACTTTCACAAATATGCTAAAAGAAAGGAAATCTATGAGATTGTAGACGGGGATGATTTTCAAAGTCGAGGTGAAGGCCATCCGTAAAAATTGTAATATGAATCATTTCTGAGTGATGAGATTATGGAAGATTTTTCTTCCTCAAAATTTGTATTGACTAATTGTTTTATAATGAACACCTACAACTTTAATAACCTGAAAAAATTAAGCTGTTTCCATTTTGAAAAGAGCAAGAGACAAAGTTCCCAGACTTTCTTGGTTCCTGGCGCTTCTAAGCCAAAAGAAATACCTAAGAGTATTAAGTAGTTAATACATATTTACAACTTACTACGTATTTACATCTCACAACTTAGGAACTATTGTAAAAATAATGCACATGCAATGAACTACTATATATTCTATTACGTTCTTAAATGACCACAATGGTTTATTAACAGCAGTACCTTATTATTGGTTTCCTGCAGCCGCCATTACAGTGAGGACTAGCTCCCTGCCCTGGCCAGCCCTCCTTCTCCCCTGGTATGACCCACTCAGAAAGTTCGATAGCAAGATGAAGAAACTTGCTTCTCCTTCTGTTATTTTTTCCATTGCTCGTCAGTAAGGGCTGTACTTTACACGCCTGCTGAATCTGTGCCCTGACCATCCAGGGAGGCTCACGCACAGATTCGGTGACCCCGAGTGTAGCTGAGCGGGGAGACCGCTGTGGGGCCGGTGGAGGCCTCTAACCACAGCTAGTGCTGCTGACGCGGACAGGGGTCAGCAGAAAGACTGGGGGACCAAACGTACATTTTCTAATGACACACTGTCAATGCACCACCCTCACAGTGCCCTCTCCAGCGTCCCTTGTTCATGCCATCGTGGTGAGAAGGGCAGAGGCCTCTCCTGGAAGGTCTTAGGGCTCTTCCTGTTTGCAGTCAGCTGGCCAAACACCTCCAGCAGGGAACAGAACAAAATAAAGAGGAAAGAACGCCAGGCCACGAGGCAATTTTGTGGGGAAAGAGCCATCAGGAGAAGTTAGAAATGCTAGCGGCTAACTATAATTCTGTTTCTTTCTTTCTTTTTTTTCTTTTTTTTTATTTATTTGAGAGAGAGAATGAGATAGAGAGATCATGAGGGTCAGAAGGAGAAGCAGACTGCCTGCTGAGCAGGGAGCCCGATGCGGGACTCGATCCCGGGACTCCAGGATCATGACCTGAGCCGAAGGCAGTTGCTTAACCAACTGAGCCACCCAGGCGCCCCTATAATTCTGTTTCTTAAAACTGGAAGTTGAAAGACTAGATTGTGGTTTGGCTAACAAATCGTTCGCAGCTCACGTTTGAATTTTCATCTATGAAGGCACATTTGGATTTGGGTCTGTTCTAGGTGGTGATGGGGACTGGCATTTCAGCTGGGTTTAACCTGCAAGAATCCTACAATGTGGATGTCGTCGGGACACTTCCTCTGGGGTAGGAAAACCGTTTTTATTTTAAGTAACATCAATAATCAATAGATCTATTATTGTTTGTAACTCCTGCTTTAGTATGCTTACAATCAAAATCTCTTTTTTTTCCCCTACATATCAAATAGCTGAGGCTTTGCGTTTTTTTGGGTTTTAGCAGGTTTTTTTAAATTGTAAAAAAACACATAACAGAAAATTTACCATTTTAATCATTTTGAAGTGTACAATTCAGTATGTTAAGTATATTCACATTGTTGTGAAACGGATCCCCAGAACTTTCTCATCTTGCAAATCTGAAACTCTATACCCATTAAACAAGAATTCTCTACTCTAGCTCCCCTCCCCCAACCCCTGGCAACCACCACTCTTTTTCTCTGTATGAATTTAACTACTCTTGGTACCTTATATAAGTGGAATTCTATTTGTCTTTTTGCGACTGGCTTATTTCATTCAGCATAATATCCTTAGAATTCATCTGTGTTGTAGCAAGTGACAGAATGTGCTTCCTTTTTAAAGTTGAATGAAATTTCACTGGAGACACACACACACACACACACATATATATCACCACATTTTGTTTATCCATTCACCCAACAATGGAACTTTGGGGTGCTTCCACCTCTTAGCTATTGTGAATATTATTGCTATGAACATGGTGTGCAAATATGTCCTCAGGACCCTGCCTGCAGTTCTTTTGGATACATACCCAAAAGTGGGATTGCTGGATCATAGGCTAGTTCGATTTTTAACTTTTTGAGGAACTTCCATACTATATTCCATAGTGAGTACACCATTTTACAATCCCACCAACGGTGGTATGTAGTGTTTTCTTTTGTTTCCTGTTGCTGGTTTTTACAATCTCTCTTCGGGTGGCATAGGAATTAAGAGCCAAAATAACCTAAATCTAGCCTGACATTTACTAGCTGTGTGACCTCGGGCAAGTCACTTATCCTCTTAAAGCCCCAGTCTCCACCCCTGTCAGGTTAGCACCATCATCGACTCCTGTCTCCAGGGCAGCTGTGAAGCTACAGGAGCTCATGTGTGCACCTGGAAGCATTTAAGACATGGGAATTGGAAGTTCTACAGTTCATTATTTCAACAGATTTTCTAGTTTCGAGTCATCTCTTCTTTGCTTCATCAATCCCCTTTTACCTAACTCTACATTTAAAAAAAATTTTTTTTTTAAGATTTTATTTATTTATTTGAGACAGAGAGAATGAGAGAGAGAGAGAGCACATGAGAGGGGGGGGGTTAGAGGGAGAAGCAGGCTCCCTGCTGAGCAGGGAGCCCGATGCGGGACTCGATCCCGGGACCCTGGGATCATGACCTGAGCCGAAAACAGTCGCTTAACCAACTGAGCCACCCAGGTGCCCACATTTAAAATTTTTTACTATTCTCCTTATGTTTGAAGGAGCTAGAATAACTGTGAGCCTCTCTTCTTACCTCATTCTGTTCCTCTCCGACATGCTCTGGCCGTCTCTGCATCTCTCTGTGTGTCTCTGTCTTTCTGTCTCTTGTACTGTCTCTTCCTCTTGCCATCCTCTTCTCTCTTTCCAGATGAGCAGAATCAGATGTTTGCCCAGATGTTGGGCATTGATGAACCTGGCATACTGCATCAGGCCTTGTCTCTGGTCCCATCTAAGAATCTCCCGGGGAAGGACAGGGGCAGGAGTTGCTCTTGAAGCTAGCGTCCACCCCCCACCCCAGGGCAGGTGTTGAAGGCGGAAGCAATGGATTGCCATCATGAACATGTTACTTATGATTCCATGTTAAGGAATAACCCGGTAGTAACACTTGCTTTTCTATTTGGACTTATAATTTATAAAATACTTTTATACCCACCATCTCCGTTGGTGCTCACAATCACACTATTGACATATATGCTCTCCCCATTTGACACGATAAGTTCATTTATTTAAGCATATGTTTATTAAGTGCCTGTTAAGTGCCAGGGACACAGCAGTTAAAAACAAAAGCAGCCATGCAAGCACAAAAGTGCCCTCACGAAGCTTATGTTCTCCAGTGGGGGGAAGGGACCGGGGAGAATGAACAGTGAGAAGTGCTGTGAAGAAGAGGGAGGCCAGGTAAGGGATAGGGAGGGGCTGGGATTGCTGTGTTAGGTAGGCTATCAGAGAAGGCGACATTGGAGAGACGTGGATGAGGTTTAGTGGCTCACCAGTGAATCCCAGCCTGGACCCAGAATACAGTCTTCCAATGCTCAGTTGTTAGCCGTTTCCGTTACCTCACACGTGGGTCTCTAACAATTAGTCATGTGCTAAGCCTTCGTCTTTGACTAGATCCAATATACAGTTCTAGTCAATAATCACAAATAATTTGATTAAATGTGAATTCTTATGCTTAGATTTCTCCTTTTTAAAAATTCACATACAATTCACCACAGTTTCTACCCAATACCTCCCTTTCCCTATTGCACTGTACCCAAATATGTTGCTTTTCCTCCATGTATGAGAGTCATACTTTAAAAAAAAATTTTTTTTCACAAACAATGAATCATGGAACACTACATCAAAAACTAATGATGTAATGTATGGTGATTAACATAACAATAAAAAAATTTTTTTTTAAAGTTTTACCTTTCTATAACTTGACTACCCTTTCTGGAACTCTGCCCCAAACCAAGCAGGAAAGAAATAATGCTTTAATAATGCTTAAATAAAACTTCCTATCTATATATAATCATACTATTTATCTATGAGTCTTGCTGCTGAATAACAGCTCCAAAACAATGTCTTAAAACATAATCAGTTTGTTTGCTCACAATTCACAATCTAGGTAGGGAGCTGGGTGGTCTCCTGCTGTCACTTGGGGTCTCTCAGGCAGCTGCCGATGTCTGAAGGTGTGCCTGGTGAGCTTCACTCCCCTGTCCGATCTGTCAGGTGGAGGGCTGGAAGGAGGAGGGCTGGCAAGCATCTTCTCCCGCAGGGTGACTCCAGCAGGATAGCCAGACCCTTTTATGTGGTGGCTCAGGGAAACAAGACAGAAAAGCAGGAAGTGCCGGGCTGCCAAAAGGGCTCATCCAGCATCACCCGCCCCGCATTCAGTTGGCTAAAGCAAATCACAAGACCAGCCCAGATTCACCGGAGGAGACACAGATCCCCCCCCCGCCCCCCCCCCCCCCCGCTACATGGGAGGAGCAGCCCAGATAAGGATGGGAGGAACTGTTGGCGGCCATATTTGAACGCAAACTACCGCACTTACCTATCCACACACACAAATACACACACAGGACCGTGTGTTGACTCTTAAAGGTCCCAGTCATGGCAGTATATGCTGTTTCTTGGTCTACTTTCCTTAACTCATTCCAAAATACATTCTTTTCTCCTATTCTTCTGCGCTCCCAAATCTGTTGCTCGGGCTTCCCTCCTGGCTAATGCTTCTGCAGCAAAGTGCAAGGGAAAGACCGTAAGTTTTGCAGGCAGACCTCTTGGGCTTGACTCCTTGCTCCATCTTGGGCAAATAACGTAACATCTTCAAGGATACGTTTTTTCACCTATAAATTAAGATAATAATAGCACCTAGCTAAGAGGATTGCTGTGAGGACAGATGAGATGATGTATGGCAAGCATATGGCACGAAATGTAGGCTTAATGTTTGGATTTTTTTTCCTTCTCCCCTTCTCTTTCCCTTACCCCTGAACTTGAAACATCCCCTTTGTCACTGTGATATGACACAGTCAGAGAAATAGGCACAGGGAGGCAGGTTCTTCATGGTTTTTGTTGTACTGGTGGCCATTTGTACATGAGCCATCGGACCTTGGACAAGTTGCTTAGTCTCACTATCCCTCATTTTCCTCATCTGTAAACTGGGGCATATAGTGGTACCCAGCTCCCAGGGCTGTCAGAGATAAATAAGCACAGAACCTGGCACAGAGGAAGCACCTAATAAATGGTTGTTATTGTAAAAAAGAATAATATGGTATGTAAGTTGATTGTTGTTATTATTTAGCCCAATGCCTTGAATTGAATCAGGTGCCTTTGAAAACCTCTAGTGCCCCTTACCCCGTACCATTCTAGGGAATCCCTGTTCTGTTCCTTTAGGACAAGGGTTCCAAACTATAAGAATGGACCACAAAAACTGGGTTCCCCATTGGTCCCTTCAGATTCCCAGGGCTACCAGGTAAGACCCAAAGAGTATAATTTTCTGTTGCTCCTTCCCCATGTTAGAAACTCACCTAAAGGGGTCCTGGGAAGCAGAGACCTTACTTGAAATAACAAAGGGGAGTAGTCTGGACAGTAGTTCTCCTCTAAGACAGCCCTTGTTAACACCCTCCTTGCCCTCAGACTTTGGTTCAAATGTCTTGTGCCATCTGAGCACTTTGCTGACCCTCTCTTCTTCCTGTTCTGTGTCTTACTTACACATGCCATACAGGGTGTCATGAGGTATGAGGTTACTCCTTTTCTAAATAAAATGGCATCTGATATCTGCTGATAACCCATTTGGGTAGAAAGCCAGTACTCTAGGGTTGGGCCCTAAAAAGAACCTCTCTGTGTCAAAGAAGGTATTCATTCCTTTTTGCCAAACCAGAGTAAATAAGTATCCAAGCATTGATCACCTCATTTGCAGGTGATGCTCTTCTGAAATGCCCCTGTCTAGTTGCATGTTTTTTCCCAGTGGCCACAACACTTGGGTTAAAGTCAGCTTGACTTTTCAGGCTGCTGCCTCCAGCCAACCCGGACACCAGCCTCTTCCACCTTGTGTACGTGGATGCCATCGCCATAGCCATTGTTGGATTTTCAGTGACCATCTCAATGGCCAAGACCTTGGCAAATAAACATGGCTACCAGGTTGATGGTAATCAGGTAAAAAAACCATTCATTCCCTGCAGATATTTCATTATGGTATAATCATCCTGCTGTGCTATGGAAGGCAAATGATTTAGATTTCTCTGTCTCGTTAGAAAAACTTCTATTTTGATATTGGGGGTACTGGAAACATGTTTTTATTCAACACTACAATTTTTTCATTATTTATGTGCATTAGATCATCAGAGCACTGAGATACAGTTCTACCTCATGTCATGGGTGGGGTTCCTGCTAGGAAGAGGTAACCTTGGATGTGAGGCTTTCAGTTTGCTATACTCCAACAGATGTTATCCCTATTTTTTAGGCTCACAGCCTGAGAAGCAAATGTTTTTCTAGAACCATTTCTGTGAAGACTTTTCTTTGCTCATTAAACTTGGACATGTGATTCATCACTCAAACTCCACATTATATTCTTTGCCACCACTTTTTAAAAATTTTTTGAAAAGGATGGGGGGAGGGGCAAAAGGAGAGGGAGAGAGAGACTCTTAAGCAGGCTCCACGCCCAGCATGGAGCCCAACGTGGGGCTCAATATCACAACCCGGAGATCAAGATGACCTGAGCCAAAATCAAGAGTCAGCTGCATAACTGACTGAGCCCCCCTAGGTGCCCCACCACCTCCTTTTATAACCTATCTATAGATAAGTTATTTAATCTGAATATAATGAGTCATAATTTTGGCATGACAATGTCTACTTTAAAACACTGTGTATTTCTAAGAGAAGATTAAATGCTCCACATTCCCACAAGACAGTGATCCAACCAGGAAGACTGGAAGTAGCCCTGAGAGCAGGACTCACTCACTCACTGGTCCCAGGAGGACACTGGCATGCACTCACTGAAGAGCAACAGTCCAGGCATTTAGAAGATGCCAACAGTTCTATACACCAATAACTTACTCATAACATAAATATTTTGTCCCTTTTTGCTGCAGTTTTCTTTAAAAAAAAAAAAACATTTGTGTAAAAGAGTGGGTTTGGGAAAGTGGGGACTAGGTAGTGAGTGCAGCTTTTATCTCTGAGAGAACAAAAGCTCTAAGTGTTTTTCTCCCATCTTATTCAAGAATCCCTATTTTAAACTCATGCTAAACAAACTCTTGTATCTGGAAAGAGAATGAAGAGACAGCCTGTCCTGCTGAAAATGTATCTTAAATGGGCCATCGTGCCTTATTTCCTGAAGAATGACTGACTTCTCGTGTGCTTTGTGTCCACATGGAAAAGGAGCTCATTGCCCTGGGACTGTGCAATTCCATTGGCTCACTCTTCCAGACTTTCTCCATCTCATGCTCCTTGTCTCGAAGCCTTGTTCAGGAGGGAACTGGAGGGAAGACACAGGTGTGTATACAACTGGCCTCTGAGGACCGGTGATTTGGGGTAGTAAATTTTAATCCCCTGATTCTATTCTGAACCCAAACAAAGCTGCTCTGTCTGAAGATTGATGCTCCAGGGAGATGTGTAGTGAATCAGAGAAAGGCATGAATGGTTGAAGCGATTCACAGGAACTGAATCTATAGGAAAGAGGCATATTCTCCAGTTAAATAGAAAATAACACAACACTCCCTGCTACCAGTAAACCTCAGAGTTCAGACATAGGATGTTGCCATGAAAGCCTAAGGCTGGGTATGGATGGTCCGGATGCCAGCACCATCCAGTAGAACTTTCTGCAGTGTTGGAAATGTTCACTATTTTGCATCATCCAGTACGACAATCATTAGACACATGTGGCCCTTGAGCACTTGAAATGTGGGAAATGCAACCAAGACCTGAATTTTTAGTTGTATTTAATTTTAATTTTAAAAATTTAATAGCTGCACGTGGCTAGGGCTACTGCATTGGACAACAGAGTCTCATTTGACTCTGCTGGCCCTTGTGGGTCTTGGGTCATTATCTCCTTTCCCTCACCCCTGACAAGGGCATTTCGGTCAGAGTTTTTCATCATTTCAGCCTCTATTTAAAAGCTATAAGAGAAACCAAAACTTCAGAAAGGGGAATGGGAAGGAGTTATAGGTTTATGTAATGGTATTGATGACTTGTTTGAATCCCTATTTTCTTGACCTTTCCGCAGTAATTAACAAAAGACTAAGATCACCCTCTGCTCCGCCTCTTACTCGTGTCTTCTAAAAGCCCCTTCTGTGTGTCGTCTCTCATTCAGCTTGCAGGTTGTTTGGCCTCGCTAATGATTCTGCTGGTCATATTAGCCACCGGATTCCTCTTTGAATCATTACCCCAGGTGTGTAGTTTGGACTTGGTGTGAGGTGCTTCCATGTGTAGAGATTTTGCTCTTTTGTTTGTTTATATTTTTGTGGCCATCTCATGGGTTTTTACTGTAACGCTATCAGAGCGGTATAGGAAAGGGCCAAGGCTGGGACCAAGATCCCACTCGACAATCTACAGTCCTGCCCCACAATCTGGGACCTTGGGAAAGCCATCTCAACATCTCTGGGTCTCTGTTTCCTTATCTGCAAAGTGGGGGTTTGGACTGATTAATCTCCAAGGTCCCTTCTCTCTTTGATCTTCTATGACCTTGTACTTCCATTAAAAATCTGAGATGGCCTTCACTCCGAAGACATATGTTTGCCCATCTATTTAATGTAGTAGAGATCAGGGACAGTATAGAGGAGGGGAAATCATAGTGTAGGAAGACCATGGGTGAAATAATTCCTTGAGTACCAAGTTTAATTCTGAACCTCTTGACCACCATGCAGGTTTGCTGCTAGGATATAAGCCTGGTTTTCCAAGGCCCATTTTAGCTAACCGAGTCCTGAAAATCCAGGTGTTCATAAACATGAACATGGCTCCACATGCACCATCACGGCTGCGTGGGAAGTGAGTGGGGAGAGGACGTGGGGAGCGCAGCAGAGGACAGTGAGGAGCCAGCAAAGGGGGCTCTCTGTCCACAAGAGGAGACGCATGCGTGATGTGCTCTGTTTCAGGCTGTGCTGTCGGCCATTGTGATCGTCAACCTGAAAGGAATGTTTATGCAGTTCTCGGATCTCCCCTTTTTCTGGAGAACAAGCAAAATAGAACTGGTAAGTAACAAAGATGATTGTTAGGTTGATATGTCATTGCGACACATGGATGAGTGCTGGTAAAAATGTGAGAAAGATAAGTTAGTGCAGTCGTTTGTTATATGTAGTATCTAGTCAGGCAAGGTTAGGTACCGTGTGTGTGTGTGTGTGTGTCAGACAGACTCTTAGGAAATTTCTAGCATGATTCTACGTAAAGCTTTCTGTCTTTCTTGTAGACCATCTGGCTTACCACTTTTGTTTCCTCCCTGTTCCTGGGATTGGACTATGGTTTGATTACAGCTGTGATCATCGCTCTGCTAACTGTGATTTACAGAACACAGAGGTGAGTGTACAGATTGGGATGGGTGTGATTGTCCTGCCTGAAATTGCAGTGTTGACTTTAAATATATTGTATTTGTCGACAGACACCACTAGATTGTGAGCATCTTGCTTGGGAAGGCGATATTCCCAGAGTCCAACGCTGGGCATATAGTGTGTATTCTCTGAAAGCTTGTTGAGGGAATCCACCCAGAAAAACAGCTAACGTTCATATCATGTATTCTAATTCACAAAGCACTGGTGCATACCTGCTAGGAAGCACCAGGGCATTGTAGCAAGTCCATGGAATGTCAAATCAAAGACCTTGAGCCGGATTCTGGCTTTGCTGATCCCTTTGACATTGAACAACTCACTCCACTAGGCCTCAATTTCTCATCCACACAACAGCATAAAGAAGCCTCGTGTGTAGGATATAATAAGGTAATATGAGGTGCTCAAGCACTAGTATCTGTCATTACAGGATTCAGTTTGAGCCAGACTGTCCTATAAAAAGAGGCGGGCTCTCCAAAAATAATGTTTAAAATCTATTCAAACAAACTTAAGAAAACTTATATGCTGATGAGAGTTTTTTTTGTTTTCTTCCCACACCTTCAGCTGACTACCACCCCCAGGAGTCAGAGCCTCTTACTAGAAACCAAAAGAAAATCTCCTCCCCTGCTTTTGAATAAGAGTAGGAAGACAGTTCTATTGAGTGGATGAGAATTTGAGTTACACATTCCTTGGCATGGCTTGAACTCCACAACATTCACTTTTGCCCCTATTTTTAAATGCCTGAGTCTTTTGTCCTGACTAGATTGTGTGGTGTGCATGTGTGTGAGAGAGGTGTGTGTGTGTGTGTGTGTGTGCATGTGTGCATGCATGAAGAGTATGTGGATGTGTGTGTCGTGTATGTTTGGGACAGGGTGTGGGCACGTGCCAGGAATGGCCCTGGGAATGTGATCCATGTGAAGCCCTCTGCAAATGTTCCATATAAGGATCACGTATTCCTGAGTTCACTAGCAAGTCCATACGTGACATGTAAACATGCAAAACCTCCTGTTTAAATCACATACTGGGCCTCAAAACAACGGTATTTTAACACCCTGTCCCTCTGTCTTTAGTCCCAGCTACAAAGTCCTTGGGCAGCTTCCCGACACAGATGTGTATATTGATACAGACGCGTATGAAGAGGTAGGACTTTTTTCTCATTTTAAATGGTGGTAAGCCAAATAAATAAAATCTTTTAAAAAATAAAAAAATAGGGGTGCCTGGGTGGCTCAGTCATTAAGCGTCTGCCTTCGGCTCAGGTCATAGTCCCAGGGTCCTGGGATGGAGCCCCGCATCAGGCTCCCTGCTCGGCGGGAAGCTTTCTCCCTCTCCCCCTCCCCCTGCTTGTGTTCCCTCTCTTGCTGTGTCTCTATCAAATAAAATCTTTTAAAAATAAATAAATAATGGTTGTAAGCATATCATGGGATAGGCTGACTAAATTTTTTACACAGGACAAAAAGTGGGGCTGAAAAGGAGGGAGGTGTTGCAGTCAGAATGAAAAGCCTGAACTGGAATTAACTGTCTGGATTCAGTTTTAGAGTTTATACTCTACATTAATCACTCAACCTCCTAATATTTATTTTTCCTCTTTCTTCAATAGGGATAAATAGATATTCCTGGAATTAAAGTATATATTTACCAAATACTGAAACTGAGAGGATAGTTTATACGTGCATGATTTTATGCCTTCAAATTCCCTTGATTTTGAATATCCTGAGGGGGCATCTGGGACCATGTGTACAAAACCTTTTAAAATTAGCTTTGTCTTATGTATCATATGACCTCACTAATATGAGGAATTCTTAATCACAGGAAACAAACAGGGTTGCTGGAGCGGGGGGTGGGGTGGGAGGGAGGGGGTGACTGGGTGATAGACACTGGGGAGGGTATGTGCTCTGGTAAGCGCTGTGAATTGTGCGAGACTGTTGAATCTCAGATCTGTACCTCTGAAACAAGTAATGCAATATATGTTAAGAAAAAAAAAAGAAGAAGAAGGTAGCAGGAGGGGAAGAATGAAGGGGGGAAATCGGAGGGGTAGACGAACCATGAGAGACGATGGGCTCTGAAAAACAAACTGAGGGTTCTAGAGGGGAGGGGGGTGGGAGGATGGGTTGGCCGGGTGGTGGGTATTGAGGAAGGCACGTTCTGCATGGAGCACTGGGTGTTATGCACAAACAATGAATCATGGAACACTACATCTAAAACTAATGATGTAATGTATGGGGATTAACATAAGGATAAAAAAATTAAAAAAAATTAGCTTCGTCTTGTAAGACTGATGAATCACAGACCTGTACCCCTGAAACAAATAATACATTATATGGTAATTAAAAAAAAAAGGAGTCAGACATTTAACTGAGCCACCTGGGTGCCCCCCTAAATAAAGTTTTATTGGAACACACACACACACACAAGAATTTTTCTCAAAAAAAAAAAAAATTAGCTTAGTCTCTTTGATTTGCTTTATGTTTGGGAAGAAATTCTCAGATTTACTATAAGTACTGGGAAATGAGACTGGTATTAGGATTGTTCATTTTTCCTCCTTCTAAAGAATTATGTGCTGGATTTGTCACTTCCAAACTGTATTCTAAAGTTCCTTGGGGCTTCTGGGTAAAACATTCACTCTGTGGAACTTGGGTCTGTTTCAGCTCCTGCCTGCATTCCAGGAACCAACCAACATAACCTCTCTTCACTCCATCTGCCTGTTCTTCATGGTCTGAGGGGCAGCCTCCCCTCCCTATCCGTTTTCTTATCTGTTTGTAAGTTTTCGGTTCCTTCTTTGTGTTTTATGGTGACTATGAAACAAAGACTCTTAAAAGAAATGTGAAGATGTGCATATTAAATGCTTTCTTCTCAGACCTCCTTCCTCCAGGGCACCAGTAGGCTAGAGTGACAGAATTTTATCTAAACACCATAATAGGGCCTTTAGTGACTTATGCATTGATTTTCAGGTTTGAGGAGGGAGGTGGGTGCAGTTTCGACTCTGAAATATTTCCATGTGTTAAATTCACTAACATTTTATTTTTCAGGTGAAAGAAATTCCTGGAATAAAAATATTCCAAATAAATGCCCCAATTTATTATGCAAATAGCGACTTGTACAGCAGTGCTTTGAAAAGAAAGGTGAGTCACAAGAAATTGATGATTTTTGAGGGGACCTGTGGATTGACAGGAATGTGAGGGACACTTAAATGTCTTGATATACCTTTTATACTATTTCATCCTCTCCCCCTTGGTAAAATACGTAAAATTCACCATTCAGCAGATGGAATGAAGTAACATTCACGTTGTTGTGCAACCAACACCACTAACACCACTAGTCGTTCTCTTTTATCACGTGCACATATTACCTTTTCAAAAAATTTTTAAGAAAAAGAGTGAAAAAATAATTTTAGGTGTCTCACTCTTCGGATCATGTGGGTTGCTTTGGTCGTGATTAAAACTGGACCCCACACCACCCAGTTTATAAGAAAACCTGCCAGTCAACCCACAGAGTCTCCTAAATATAAGAATCTGAGAGTACATTTGAAAAATACTCCTTTAAAAATTCTCTTTGATACTTTAGTGTATTCACTGCTGCATCCTGCTGAATGCACATAAGAATAAGGAGAGGGCGCCTGGGTGGCTCAGTTGGTTGGGCGACTGCCTTCGGCTCAGGTCATGATCCTGGAGTCCCGGGATCGAGTCCCGCATCGGGCTCCCTGCTCAGCAGGGAGTCTGCTTCTCCCTCTGACCCTCCCCCCTCTCATGCTCTCTCTATCTCATTCTCTCTCTCAAATAAATAAATAAAATCTTTAAAAAAAAAAAAAAAGAATAAGGAGAGTTACTCATGTTCCTTTAATGAGGGAGTAACTCAGCTCAGGGTGCCTGAGGGAAAGGTAGAGCAAGAGGTGGGGTGATAACTTGGCATTGAAAACAGTCCAGTGGGGGAGATTTGAAGATTTATTGCATTTGGGTGGGTTTCTGGGTGCCAAGAAGTGATTTTGCGTGTATTGCTCTTCTGTAAAGACTGGAGTGAACCCAGCACTCATAATGGGAGCAAGAAGAAAGGCCATGAAGAAGTATGCTAAGGAAGTTGGAAATGCAAATGTGGCCAACGCAACCGTTGTCAAAGTGGTGAGTGGTCTCTTCACTGTAGCTTTCCCTTCTCTACTTGATCTGCACCGCCCCCCACCTTCATTCATGAGTGAAGTCTTGACACAGCAGGAAGCCGCTAAAATAGGAAAGCTTAGAAACAGTCGAAGTATCCTTTATATATTAAAGATACATGATAAGGTCAGTTATGAGAATGCTTCTGCAAAAAATTAGGGATATGAGCCCCAGAAAACATTGTTTAAAAAAAAATAAAGATCACACAGTAGTACCTTAATAAATTGTACCATGTACCATGGGTACTTTGTCATAGATTCATTCAGCTGATAGTAAAAAACAAAACAAAACAAAAAAACCTCAGGCTGGATTTTGCTGTTCAAGCTTATGGTAACTTGTGGCCGTGCTGAAGTTAACAGAACTGTTTTAGAAGTGAGGAGAAATTGGATATGATGACTAAGGAGAGTGGATTTTATTAGACAAAAACAAGAGGAAGAAGAAAAGAAAAGAAACTGAGCTAAAACTGAGTATTATGTACACATTCTTTTTCTGTCACATTACAAGGCGGGGTATGGCAGATATTTTAGAAGAGGTCTGGTGGAGTCAGTAATTTGAGAGTATGGGAACTAATTTTCCCTTATAAATCTTTCTCAGGGGTGCCTGGGTGGCTCAGTGGGTTAAGCATCTGCCTTCTGCTCAAGTCATGATGCCGGGATCCTGGGATTGAGCCCTGTGTTGGGCTCCCTGCTCAGCGGGGAGCCTGCTTCTCCTTCTGACCCTCCCCCTGCTCATGCGCTCTCTCTCTCTCTCTCTCTCTCTCACTCTCTCTCAAATAAATAAATAAAATCTTTAAGAAAGAAAGCTTTCTCAGAACCAACACGTGCACTGCTCATAGGCTTCTGGTTTGGTTTACCCACTGACAGGATGCAGAAGTAGATGGAGAAGATGCCACGAAGCCTGAAGAAGAGGATGATGAAGTAAAATATCCCCCGATAGTCATCAAGAGCACATTCCCTGAGGAACTGCAAAGATTTATGCCCCCGGGGGATAACATCCACACCGTCATTCTGGATTTTACGCAAGTCAACTTTATTGACTCTGTTGGCGTGAAAACCCTGGCTGGGGTAAGCATCATCTTATGAGTCATTTCGTAGATCTGTGCCATCAGTAAAATCAGAGAGTTGAACTAGGGTCCCCTTTTCAACTCTTAAAATTCTTCTTTGTTTTTGGTGGGTTTTTTTTTTTTTTTTTCAACTTTTGATTGTGGAAAATTTCAAAAGCGTACCAGAGTAAAGAGCACAGTGTAATGAATCCCTGTGTAAGCACCGCCCCACTGCAACAGCTCATCAGCCTGTGGGCAGTCCTGTGTCATCCACCGCCCCCCTTCCCGCCGTCCCCTTCTCTGACCCGGAAGCACACCCCAGCCATTGCCTCTTTGTGAATATTTCAGGGTATAGCTCTACAAGGAGAAGATTCTTTTACCAATCAGTACCATAACCCAAAATTCAACAAGAATTCTTTGATGGCCTCATTATCACTGTCCATATAAAAATTAAGAGAGGGCGCCTGGGTGGCTCAGTTGGTTGGGCGACTGCCTTCGGCTCAGGTCATGATCCTGGAGTCCCTGGATCGAGTCCCGCATCGGGCTCCCTGCTCGGCGAGGAGCCTGCTTCTCCCTCTGACCCTCCCCCCTCTCATGTGCTCTCTCCCTCTCTCATTCTCTCTCTCAAATAAATAAAATCTTTTTAAAAATTATTAAAAATTAAGAGAAATACAAATTAGTTTTAAGCGATTAGCTCAAAATACGTAATTATTGAAGAGAAGTAGCTCAGGTGAATGCACTAGCCTCTTGTGTCACTAAATATATACTGGTAGAAAGAGACTTGCTTTGGGCCCAGAGTCGAGAGAAACTAAACTTTATTTCAACATTATTACAGATTGTAAAAGAATATGGAGATGTCGGTATTTATGTGTATTTAGCAGGATGCAGCGGTGAGTACACTTCTAGAATGGGGAGAAGTTTTAACATTTTGGTTTCGTTTCTCTCTTTTTTAATAACTTTTTAAAAGTTTGGAAATATTTTCCCTTAATTTTAGTTTCTGGCAGCAAGGAAAATTATTCAGGGAGGGAAGGGTAAAAATGAAAATTATTCTTCTGAAAATCACTCTGAAGCTAGCTTTGAAATTAGTCACTCACAGGCACCCCTGTCCCTGGGCTATTTTGGCAGGCCTCCTGACCTGGACTTGGAGGGAAGGAGCTTATAAACCATTGTCCTGAGCTGGTACATTTTTTAGTAATTATTTAATGGCAGCCCTAATCATAGTTCTATACAATCATTTAGGTTTTTCCATGACAACACCTGCTATTTTTGCTTTATAATAAATTTTGGTTGAAACAGTGCCTGAAAATGAAATCTACATAAAGTCATCGCTTTTCACCTGCCAGGATGGCAAAAAGGAGAAATGTCTGACAGCATGCTCCGTAGGCACACTGTGGGAGCACAGGGACTCTCCGACATTGCTGGTGGGAGTGCAAAACGGAACAGCCTCAGTGGAGGGCAGAGCGGCGTTATCGTTCCCAATTACAAATGCACTCTACCCTTTAACCCAGCAAGTCCAGCAACGTGCTGCACATACTCAAAATGACACGTGTACGTGGTTAACCATCTATAAGCAGTTGCAGAAACTGGTTACTGTCTATAAAACAAAAGACTGGAAAAAATGTCAAAGAAAAGGGACCAGTTAAATAAATTGGGTACATCCACACAATAGAATATCATGTAGTGGTAAAAAAAAAAAAAAATTAAGTACAAACAAAATCCAGAGTAATACAGATATATATATATATATATATACCGTGCTAAAGAGATACTTTTGGGTAAGAAAAAAGGGAAAAATAAGAATATGTATTTGTATTTACTTATATTTCCCTAAAGAAATACTGAAAGAATATGCAAGAAAATAATTTCCTGGATAAAGAAAATGTGATGTGTGTGTGTATGTGTGTGTGTGTGAGAGAGATACTGATATATACTACACTCACACACACACTCACTGGAATATTACTCAGCCATCAAAAAGAATGAAAACTTGCCGTCTGCAATGATGTGGATGGAACTAGAGAGTATTATGCCGAGTGAAATAAGTCAGAGAAAGACAAATACCACATGATTTCATGTGGAATTTAAGAAATAAAACATAGGGGAAGAGAAGGAAAAATAAAAAAGAGAAAAGGAGAAAGGCAAACCATAAGACTCTTAATGGGGGGATGGGGTAATTGGGTGATGGGCATTAAGGAGGGCACTTGTTGGGATGAGCACTGGGTGTTCTATGTAAGTGATGAATCACTACATTCTACTCCTGAAACCAGTTTTACCATATATGTGACCTAGAATTTAAACAAAAACTTGAATTTAAAAATTGAAATTAAAAAAAAAAAAACAGAAAATAGTTTCCTGCTACTACTGGGGTGTGACATTGTGGGGACGGGATTGGAGTGACACTTTTTACTCTGTCATTATAATATTTAAGCTATATAAGAGTGCTAATTTTTCTAACGTTCAAGACTGATACCCAGAGTGTGGACTGATTTTCCTTTCTTCTTTTGTAGCACAAGTTGTAAATGACCTCACTCAAAATCGATTTTTTGAAAACCCTGCCTGGAAGGAGCTGCTGTTCCACAGCATTCACGACGCAGTGTTAGGCAGCCAGCTTCGGGAAGCACTTGCTGGGCAAGACGCCTCGGCCCTCCCTCCCCAGGAGGACTCAGAGCCCAACGCCACTCCAGAAGCATAGATGAAGAACTCAGCCGGGATGGGGTATGCGCCTCTCGTGAAATCAGTCACTGTTACGCAGTTTAAGTACTAGACACTAGATTTTTTTTCCCTAAGGGTCAATACTAGTAGTCAAGGCTTGATTTGGAGAGTGAATGACACATAGCAAGATGTATCTTACTTGTGTTGTTTTTTTTAATTGAATATTTCAAAGATAGACTGTCGTCCTCTTGCCTGCATTTCTTGTGCAGTGACATTTTTTTAAATTTAAATTCAATTAGCCAACATATAGTACATCATTCGTTTTTGATGTAGTGTTCAATGATTCATTAGTTGTGTATTACGCACAGTGCTCATCACATTATGTGCCCTCCTTAATGCCCATCACCCAGTTACCCCATCCCCCCCCCTCACCTTCTGCAACCCTCAGCTTGTTTCCCCAGAGTTAAGAGTCTGTCGTGGTTTGTCTCCCTCTCTGATTTCTTCCCATTTAGTTTTCCCTCCCTTCCCCTGTGGTCCTGCACGCTATTTCGTATGTTCCACATATGAGTGCAACCATATGATAATTATCTTTCTCTGCTTGACTTATTTCACTTAGCATAATACCCTCCAGTTCCATCCATGTCGATGTAAATAGTGGGTATTCATCCTTTCTGATGGCTGAGTAATATTCCACTGTATATATGAACCACATCTTCTTTATCCATTCATCTGTTGAAGGGCATCTCAGCTCCTTCAGCTATTGTGGACATTGCTGCTATGAACATTGGGTGCACGTGCCCTTTCTTTTTACCACATCTGTGTCTTTGGGATAAATACCCAGTAGTGCAATTCCCGGGTCATAAGGTAGCTCTATTTTTAACGTTTTGAAGAACCTCCATACTGTTTTCCAGAGTGGCTGTACCAGCTTGCATTCCCACCAACAGTGTAAGAGGGTTCCCCTTTCTCTACATCCTCGCCAACATTTGTTGTTCCTTGTTCATTTTAGCCATTCTGACTGGTGTGAGGTGGTATCTCATTGTGGTTTTGATTTGTATTTCCCTGATGACAAGTGATGTGGAGCATTTTTTCATGTGTCTGTTGGCCATTTGTATGTCTTCTTTGGAGAAGTGTCTGTTCATGTCTTCTGCCCATTTCTTGACTGGATTATTTGTTTTTTGGGTGTTGAGTTTGGTATGTTCTTTATCGATCTTAGATACCAACCCTTTAACTGTTATGTCATTTGCAAATATCTTCTCCCATTCCATAGGTTGCCTTTTAGTTTTGTTGACTATTTCCTTTGCTGTGCAGAAGCTTTTTATCTTGATGAAGTCCCAATAGTTCATTTTTTGTGCAGTGACATTTCTGTTACTCTTTAGTATTACCTTTATAAGCTGAGCATTTAGGAAGTTATTTCCTTTAAATACTTTCCCTACAAATCAGATATGCTGTCCCCAGGTGGGTAGTGGCTCCTTGTTCTTGTACTTGATTTACAGGATTTTTGTAATCAGAATTATCTAACAGAAGGAGCAAACCCACAATTTTCTAGAAGTTCTCTTAAAATAACCTTTTATTATTAAAGAACAATCGAAAAATTAGAAGAAACAGAAGAAAAGAAACATATTATTTTGCTACCACTCAAAGATTATCACTAACACTTTAATGCACTTCCTTCCACATCTTTTTCTGTTCATATGTATTTTCATCTTTTAATCAAAGGAAGATCATATTCAACATAGTGTCCTGTAATCCATTGTTTTCAGTCAATAATCCTTGCTTTCTCATTCCAGAATACTTTCACCTCAGACCTACTTCAAATTTCCCATCGTCCTCAAATTTGTAGTTGGTCTGTCCAAACTAGTAGCCATTCTGTGACCTAACGCTACAACTGGTCATGTCTCTTCAAGTCCCTTAAGTCCATCTTAATCCAGCCCAGTCCCTTTTATGACACTGAGTAACTATTTAAAGGGACTGGGCAGTTGTCCTGTAGAATCCCATTTTGTTTTTTCAAGGTGTTATTTCTCTTGTCCCTTTATTTCCTGAACTGCCTGTAATCTAGAAGTTATATCTAAAAGTTTCATGGATTGAAATAAAACATTTTTTTTGCTAGAATATATCAGAGATAAGACACATGCTTCAAATCTCATCACATCAGAAAACAAATATTTAGTTGCCCTACCATTAACAACGATGCTAAGGTGGATCACTGGATTAACAGGACAGCCTAATCCCCCACTTATGTTTTCTCCTTTGTGACTAGTGAGTTACCTCTATGGTATGCCTTTGGCATTGAATGAATGCCCAGTTTCCCATTAGCCATTCACCCAGGGGTTTTAACATCCTTGCCTAAGTCAATAATTTTATTAAGATTTGTGATTTTTTTCCATTTCTCTCATTTCTTCAGCATTTATTAGTTGATGTTTCTTTGTAAACTACAACTATCCCTCCTCCACTTGAGCTATTGTCATCCTTAAATACATCTCTTACTGGAAAGGCAGGTTAAATGTTTTTTCAATTTAATTATCAACTTCAAAGTAAGAAGTTGGTTTAACAGATGATGACAAATTAGGTTCTTTTATATCTCTCTTTTTTTCGTGTAATTATAGGCTCGTGAATTTTTATAGTTTTAATGTTCTTCAGTCCATTATAATTATTCTTTTTGGTGTTCAGTTTGTCACGACTGTGACCAGAAGTTTTGTTGTTGCTAATAGTAAAGTAACCTTAAAGGCCATGTATTTAAGAAAGGTAACTCCTAGGTATAATTTAGTATCTTCCTTGGAAGTCCATAAGAGTTATCAGTTAATCATCAAACCCAGAGCCTCTGTCTGAGTGAGTAAAATGCCTATTTCAAGCACTTTATAGTTGTTCAAAAGGAGTGGGGGAGAACTTTAAGCCAATTTGTCATCAAAAGGTCTTACTCTTGTAGTTCCAACTACCACTTTATTCCAAATCAAAGCACAAGTATGCCTAAAGCCTCCTCTGCTGAGATTTCCTAATAATCAGGTTTTTTTAAAAAAGATTTTATTTATTTGAGAGAGAGAGTGAGAGCACAAGCTGGGGGGAAGAGCAGAGGGAAAAAGAGAAGCAGGTTTCTGCCTTCAGCAGGGAGCCCCATGCGGGGCTCAATCCCAGGACCCCAGGATCATGACCTGAGCCAAAGCAGACAGATGCCTAACCGAGCCACCCAGGTGCCCCTAACTGTCAGTTTTTAAAGTATGTTTTCCTATTGACTTCTTGTTTTAGTTTTCATGAAGAAAACACTGCCAGGAGAAAAGTGGTCAGATCCTAGGAAAGAACTACGTTAGCATGGGTCTACTCCATCCAAACCCTATGGTTTGTTTGCTTTAACTATTGGGTTTCTCAGTGACTTTACTAATTTAATTCAAAGTAGACCCCTCCTTTCTAATCAGTACTTAATGTAGATCTAGAGTGCAATCAGATTCGCATCCAGTTACCTCGTTTGCAATCACCACATACAAGATCAGATACATCTGCATCCTGATACAGCCTGCCTTCTTAAAGAGCACTTAGCTGTAGAAGCTCGGTTTTAGTGGAAACTTTTGTAAGAGGGCCTGCACCATTTCAGCCACTAAAGCAGAACTTAAGGATTTTAAACAATGTTATAAAATACTTCATTGCATCTACTTTAGCACCCCTCTTCCACAAGTGCTTTACACATAGTAGATATCCACGTCCTAGTTGTTGGTAGATTGAAAGTAGTGTACAAAAATCGTATTTATCTGTATCTAACAGATCTGTATTTAACTTCTCTGTTAACCATGTACATAAAAAACACTTAAGTCTTACTGAAGGGAAATCTGTTTTTGTTTTAGCATGCCTCTGAGAAAGTAAGAGTACATTTCAAAATGTTTTATCTATATGTAATTATGTTGGAATGTTTTACTTTATTTAATATAGTGGAAAATTTCCTGACCTTTTTTACTTTAAGTATGTCTCTATGTTCTTCTTTCTGGACCTTAATAGCTACTAATATATGCTTCCTCTGTTTCTCAGCACTGGTTCAAATTCAGTCTTAATGCCCCTGTCAAAATGCGCATAATCCACAATGATAGATACCGGGACTTGGCTAGTCTTATTTTAAGGCAATATGGGAAAGCCCTGTCTTCAGGAAGGGTCCCACATAGAGAAGTCCTTTGTCTTTCTAAAATCCTACACAATATAACAGTGGTTGATTTCTGCCTCATGGGTAGACGGAGTATGTTTGAAAATAATTGCGAACCAGGGCCTGGGGAAACTAATTCATGTCACATTGACTCTATATAATTGTATGGCAGCTTATAGTGGGATCCCAACTGCCAGTCTCATCTGCAGTGGGACTCAGAGAAGAAAGGATAGGAATCCTCTGCAAGCCCTGGGAGTAGCTCATTCTATAGTTTTCAGGTAACATCTAAAATATCCATTCCATGTGGTTTGATCCTGTGTTCTTAACTGTTCGACAGAGAAAGGAGGTGCCTGCCTCCAAAGGGACATTTTGAGAAAATGAGTCTGCCCTCACATGTATGAAGGAGAGGGTCACAGACACACAGAACGTGCCCTGCAGTGGGTAGGTGTGCTTTTGTTTTGGGGGGTGTGGGGTGGCATATGCCCTCATGAGAGGCTGAGGGAGAGGGAAGGGAGGGTATATGGTAGGGAAGGCTTTATCTATTATGTCTGCCCCTTTAAAGACAGTAAATCAATTTAAAATTTAAAATCAAATAAAACGTCTTTGGTGTGAGCCTGTGTGTGCCTTGAGTGTAAAAATGCTGTTGGTCCGTTTTAGTGTATCTTTCAGGAATGCTTTTAGGATTCAGTATGTTTAGATTTTTGATAATATGGTTTGAGTGTTGCTAAGAGTTGGTTTGCGAACTGGTAAAAAGTACTGCCTTAATTCTCCATATAGCCAACCAAAATGCATGAGACGGGCTTTGAAACCCCTCAAATCCCAACAATAAAATGTTCAAAAGCTTAGCATTGTAGCAGGTAGGCTGGCTTACTGACTTGGATTTAATCAAGCTTGAGCATCTCAAAAATCTATCTTGCCTTTGAGAAAAAGGCATACCAGGCTTTTCATTTCACTTTATGTAACGGATAAGGCTGAGCTTTGTGGAAACTAAGTTTTTATAAATCCAATCGCATTTTTAAAACATTTATAGAAAGTATTTTTTACAGATCATGACATATCTTTCTAAAGCCAGCAACTCTTTATATTCTGACTTATCAGCACCCTGATATATATAGAACATACATGTGCATCCAAACACATGCATATGGACACACATGTGCATAGATTAGGTGGAGGGGGTTACCGGTGAATGTGTGTTCGTTCTCTTTTAAAATAGGGTACGAAGATGCTCATCTAGATAGGGTTAATACTATTGGACAGAAACACCCAAATTCTTCAAATAATTGTCAGTTTGATGTATGACATTAGATTTTCATCATGTAACTGAGATGTTAAGACTCTCCAGAGCCTGCACCATGTTAGGCCTGAGTGAGCTCAACAGAGCCAGTTTGAGTAATCCCACACGGTGCATATGATACTACTATGTAGCTCTCTGAAAAACCTGGGAAGACTTCAAAGAGTGTGACGTAAATGCTTATGTTTATTAAAACATTACAAAAACATACATCTTCATTTATTTGAGTATATTTTATTATTAGCCTAACACCTAGAAAGGGCTCGCTCTGTTTCATAACTCATGAAAGACCAGGGCAGGCTTAGGAAAATTGTTCTGATCCATTTCACAAAAAAGAAAAATGAAGAAAGAAAAGCATACTGGTTGGATTTTATGAACAAAGGGCTTTTGTTCTTCTCTTTGAAAACTTTCATGTTAAATATTTCAATACAACATTTAAAGCACTTTCTATGCTGTCAACTTTTCTTTCTGCGAATTAAAACATATCCAGTTCTTGCTATTTTGCATTACTTATTTATGAATACTGAACTGCAATAAAAACATTCTTTATTGTGCTTGGATCTCAGTATTTAGGCGGGGAGGCTAACGGTGGTGCAAGGTGGGAGGGGATTTGGTGATGGCTGCACAAGAAATAATTTTAGAGATCTGCTGAGGATCCCAATACAACTTTATTTTTAGAAATACCTCGCTTCACCAGAAATCTAACAGGAGCTTTATCAAAATTTTACACCATTAATTTATAAAATGAAAATAAGTACTTCTCTGTATGAAACCAATTCTGGATTTTCTAAATTAGAATATTATGTATATATTTTTCTTTCTGCTTTACTACTTCACTGGTCATTAAAGTCACTAATTCTTCTTGATTAACTTGAAATCAACTCAAATGACAAAGCAAAGCCTAATACATCAGATGCTTCTTCCACTTTTAAGAGTTTGGTCAAAGCTTTATTAGTCAATGTGGTAGGAAAAAAATAAAAAAACATTAAAACACGTGGTCCTGTGCCTAGATGGGCTGTTTTGATGAGGGGCAGAAGAGCATGAAGGTGAGGAACACAGGTACCGAGCTGACAAACTTGGACTTGAATCCCAGCTCTGCTACAAGTATAAGAAGTAGGAAAGTTTTTGCATGCATTAACATCAAGATGCATTAGCTCCACCTCACTGGGCAGATGGGAGGATACCATCGGCACCCAGCCAGCATACGCCTAGAATGTACATGGTCTAAGCAAGCACTTTGTGATATGGGACCCTTAAATGGTAGTGATCAAAACACAATACACATCACATCTGCCTGATGACATTAGGTATCACCTTTTATTGTACTACAGAGAATAGACATCTGAAGAAAACATACAATTTTGAAATGCTTTATTTGTGTGTGTGTAATGGTTATTAACAAGTCTATTTAATAAAGTTAGGATGCCAATGAAAAGAGGTGTTTTCATGAAAGCCTTCGGGGAATCAGTTGTATGTCATATAGCGGGGAGTAGCACTGAATTTGGCGTAAGACTTAATGACCTTATTTACAGCCTCCAAGAAATCCTTTTCAGTAGCAATTTTTCGCCGTGCTCTGATGGCAAACATACCAGCTTCTGTGCAGACGCTTCTAATCTCAGCACCTTTCAAACAAAAAGAAAACAGGCTTATTAAAGCAGCCTGAAAAGACAGACCAGCAAACATAATAAACAAGACCTTTCAACCTACCAGTGCTATTTGGACACAGTCGTGCTAACAACTCAAATCTGATATCTCTTTCAACACTCATTGAACGAGCGTGAATCTTAAAAATGTGAGTCCGACCCTAAAAATGGAATTGATAAATATTAAAATGGAAAAACATCACGGGAGGAAAAAATTTCAAGCGAAGGAATTCTTGACCTCTCTAAAATGAAATGATTTTCTCACCTCCAGATCAGGTAAGCTAAATTCAATCTTTCTGTCCAATCTCCCTGGCCTCATCAGTGCTGGATCCAAAGTATCAGGTCTGTTAGTGGCCATCAGCACTTTAATGTTACCTCGAGGATCAAAACCATCCAGCTGATTGATCAGTTCCAGCATCGTTCTCTGCACTTCGTTGTCTCCTCCAGCACCATCATCAAAACGAGCCCCTGAAAAGACAAAAGGAAAAATAAGCTCTTCACGTCCACCCAGGAGCACGCAATGAGTAACTCGAAAGTACAATCTCCGTTCAAGTCACGTGCTCCAGCGCGAGCGGGCATCTCCTTGTGAAGCGCATCCTCTAAGAACAGCCTCCTTTACACAAAACTGATTAGAAAGTGAATCTTTCAAAAGGACTCCTCATAGATTTATTTAACAAAGGCTCCTTTTAAAGTATTCTTTTTAAACCTCTTTTAGGAATTTTGTTTTTTAAATCAAGAACACCTCCATTTTTAGCACAATATACATCTGGACTAGGAAACAGCAATAGATGCGGACTTGCGTGCTACAGTGGTGTCTGTATGTAAGAAAAGGTCATACTCCTCGAAGTTTCTCAGAAACTTTCCTTAAAAGTATGGCTAAATCCGAGTTACAGTAGAACTGTAACAGCTTACTATCACACTAGTTTAGATGTATTAGAATATTCTAGCTTAATGTCAATCTCTCATTTCAACCAAAATAGCAAAAAAAAAAAAAAAAAAAAAGGCCTCCAAACATCTATTTTCATTTTTAAGTTGTATAAATACATATGGTTATATTAATGTATTATGTACATTAAAAAAAACCTGGAAAATTTTTAAATGCTATTAAAAATACAAAGAAAAATTCCAGATTGTCTTCTCGTACCCTAATACTACTTTATACACAGTGTACTTGGGAAGCCACAGCTTCAGAGCATCCTGACGTCATCATAAGGCTTATTCCAAAGATACCACACAAATAACTTCAGAGTCACAACATGACATCGATACACTATGGTCACACATTATGTCCATCCAAGACATTAACCACAGAATGTCTAAACCCAACAACACCCATCCAGTCTAAAAGCAAGACTCTAGGTAACCAACTGCAGTCCCCAAAGAACATTACGGGGTACACTATGTTTTCAAGTCATTTTTGTCACTAAGTTCATTAACTGAACATATGACATCTCTCGAGCTATTAAGAATTATTACTCCCGGGGCGCCTGGATGGCTCAGTCAGTTGAGCGTCCAACTCTTGATTTTGGCTCAGGTCATGATCTCAGGGGTGTGATACTGAGCCCTGTGTCGGTCTCCCTCTCCCTCTGCCCCTCCCCTCTCCTAAAAATAAATGAATTATTACTCTTATAACTGTTACAATAGTCCAGGCCTACAGAACAGTTGAGTTTTCAAGGTCTCATTTATTACTTAACTTTTTTTTTAGGTAGGCTCTACCCCAGCGTGGAGCCCAATGTGAGGCTTGAACTCACAACCCTGAGATCAAGACCTGAACTGAGATCAAGAGTTGGATGCTTAACCAACTAAGCCACCCAAACACCCTTATGACTTATTTTAAATCTCTCTAAAACCCATGAAATAAACAAGGCAGGAATTATCATTCCCTTTATAAGGTAAGTGAACAGAGGCTCAGAGTTGGAATAACCTGTCTAGATCGCACAGCTAATACTGTATTTCATCAAATCTATGAAGCCAACAATAACATGTACACTTTATGAAAAACCCCACCAACTAAATTATGCCCCAATGCTTCCTTTTTACATCAAGTGAAGCTATACCCCAAGTTAGGAGTTATTAAAGTGTGAAAACATGTGTCATGTGAATGAAATTAGGAAAGTACAAAGATAAAGACTTTGAGAAATAGCAATGCTCTATAATATTTCTTTTTTCCTTTACAGTGTATCTCTATTGTTTATTGGATCTGTAGCTCAGAAATGCCAGAGCTCACAGAAAGAAGAGTTGGAATTAGAATTCTGTACAAGATTAACATATCAAGAGGACTCTACACATATTACTTTAGAAGGCTCATGAAAACCAATAATAAAAAATAATAATGTAATAATACAATTTTTAAAAAATCACTGAACGATGGAAAAATTGAAGAGAACTAAAACTCAAAATCTTAAGAAAAAAAAGAACAATCCTAAAGTAGTTCTCTAAAATACCACTCATACCTCCAATAGCATCAATTTCATCAAAGAAGATAAGGCAGGCTTTTTTTGTTCTGGCCATTTCAAAGAGCTCACGAACCATTCGAGCCCCCTAATGAGAGAAATAATTCAGAGTTGGTTTAAAACATTTTTTGAACACAAGAAGAAGCTATGCTTCAAACTTTTCAATATTCCTAACAGTATTCTCAAGTATTAATAATACCTAAAGCTTTTTCAAAAAAACAAGTTTGTTACCTATTCCATCAAATTAATCTCATTAGCCTCAAAACAGTATTAATTTCACGATTCTATATCTATTAAATAGCCAATACTTCAAGACCTGAAGAGATCAAATGAACACTTGAATAAAGGCACCATTTCAATCAGTTAAAATTGAGGAAATGAAAGCAAGCATCTGATTTGTCACTTGGCATTTCTGATCACCGATTTTGCTTTGTAAGTTTTTTTTTCTTGAAGATTTTATTTATGTGATAGAGGGACAGAGAGAGAGAACAAGCAGGGGGAGCAGCAGAGAGAGAAGCAGGCTCCCCACTGAGCAAGGAGCCCGATGCGGGGCTCGATCCCAGGACTTTGGGACCATGACCTGAGCCGAAGGCAGATGCTTAACTGACTGAGCCACCCAGGCACCCCTGCTTTTTAAGTTTTGATCAAGGACCAGAAGCATATCTTAACTCATGCTGCTCCTTTACTAAGTCTTACTCTAAGTATACTAATCATTAATGTTTCAGATGTGATATACACAGCCCCAGGCTTAACTCTAATGAGAAAATACATCAAATGTATACGTGCGTGCATGTGTGTGTACGCTCGCACGTATACAGACGATTATGTTCTCTTTCTCAATAGGAGATGAAACGCTGCCCCTGAAATGAAAGTACCCTTTTGAATGCATTCACTGTATTTCTGGGGTCTTAGAAACCAAATCTGTAGAAAAGCTCATCCTTTTGAAGAGGGAGCATAATGATTAAGAGTTGTAGGCAGTTGTTTGTTTCCAGTGACCAAGGGAAGGCCGGCGGCTTCTGAACTACGAATTACAATCCA